CCCTCCCTCCTCCCTCCTCCCTCTCTTGGCACCTCCTTCTCTCCCTTTTTTTCTTTTTTTTCCCTCACTTCTGAATTTCTTTTGAACAAAAATATTTTCTGGAATTTAGAAACAAATTAATAGCTTATTGGTGGGTGTTCGACAAACAGCAGTATTTGACATTTTTGAATATTTGCAGAAATGTTGTATATTTAAAGAGTTGTTCCACCTTGGTTATATACAGCAGACGATGTTAGAATGGCCAAGACCACCGCAGGCTGAGATAGCCCTTTCTTGACTGGTGGTATAGTACCAGCCTATAGACTTAGACAGTGTGATATGAATCTAGCTACTCGTTCTAAAAAGAATTCTAAAGTTTGCTTAAATTATTAGAGATCTTTCTTTTTCTTCTTTTTTTTTTGTCTCCTCCAGTTTTTCACATTCTATTTTTTTTAATTCATCCTCTTTCAATCAAGGTTGAACATAATACAAACTGATTTTCTCCAAGAAGAGTGGAATATTTTTACCATCATGAGACTGTCAGCTCTTGTCTAGCCTATTGGCATACCAAATCAGAAAAAGTGAGGCCTTTGTCAGTGAGTGCGGGGTTAAACCTTACTCTGCCATTTCCTGTGTGACATGAGACAGAACAGCTAACATTTCTGAGCCTTGGTTTACTCACCTGTAAATTAGGAGCATAGTGATGATTACTGTGCTGGGAATAATCTTGGTTGGCAAATCAGACCCCAGGCATACCATTGGCCTCACACAATGCCCACCCAGGCAGGGCATTATTTACCCTTTTGCTTCTCCCTGCCGAGTTTCTCCATAATTAATGAAATTGTTTTTCTTGTATGACTTTAAATTTTGTTGAGAGATTTTAGGTGTTTCTTCCCTACAATTTTTCGCTTGGACTTTTTTCTTCCTTTTTACAAAGTACTGGCCTCTGACAGCTGTGTTTTCCTTTGATACCTGAGTAGATATGTTTGTGTGAATATTTTTCTGCACTTAAAATTAAGTAGGATAACCCAAGTAGGTGTTATCTTTAATTTTCCCAATCTAGGAAACAGATGAAAAAAAATTTAAGTTCTCATCTATCAAAAAGAGAAGAACCACGCAGAGTAAAGCTTTCTTTCATATTGGAATAACACTCTACAACAGCCGTTAGTTAGCTTAGTTTAGGTTTTATGGCCCAGCTTAACTGCATGGATTTATGCAAAGACTAACGTCTTTGGAGTTCTATATAAATTGCTTAAATGAGTTAGAATATCTAAGGCATACTAGTAAAATAAGTTTAAAAATGCCACAATGCAAATAACTCTAAATTGTTTGTTATTGTTTCCTTTTAAATTATCAGCCATAGCTTATTTAATTCACAAATCAGTATGATATCAGAGACACTGGTCATTTGAACAGTCTTTTGGTATGCGGAACTATGCCAGGCTGTTAGATTTAATCGTGAGAGTTATGGTGGGGTTTATTGGATTGGGTTTCTTACAAACATCAATAATTTGTTTTGCACACGTAACACAATAGAAAATGATCACTTGCTGAACTAATAAAACTTGTGCAATGGTATGACCATCCAGTTAGCGTAAAAGCCACTTTTAAAGTTTGTTGCATAGAACTATGGGACAAGGAGAACAGGCAAAACAAACAGACAAACATTAAACAAAAACAAACAAAAAACTCTGCTGCATGTTTTAAGACCAAAATTGGTTTTTTTGTTTGTTTGTTTGTTTGTATTGTTTTTGTTTTTGTTTTTTCCTTGATAAAGCCATCAATTAGCTTTTGGGTGATGTAGCAGACGATCACAACTTCATGTTTAAGATTGTCATAATCGTAAAAGTCACTGGACAAAATCATCCCCATGCGTGCGTGTGCTAGTTGGTACTCTAAGGATTCTACCTGTGTAGCTCTGTGGTACGGTGCTGGTAATATTCATGTTTCACAAACAAATTGACTTCTGGACATGAGTTTCCTGGAAAAAGACCATGAGGCAGAAAGTGGCAGAGGTAAGATGGAGCCAGGGTGCGTCGTCATCCACAGTGCCTGCCATCCTCCGTGGCATGATTCTGTCTCACAGAGAGGGACTGTCTGGGGAGACTGCTAACACTTCAGTCACTTTTGATGAGCATTGATTTTATGCATTTTGATATGAACTTTCATTAAGTTCGCACGTTTTTCCACAGGTGCCCATATTCAGTTTCTGAATTTCTCTACCGAAGCTAATCATGACTTCCTTGAAATTCAAAACGGACCTTACCACACCAGCCCCATGATTGGACAATTTAGCGGCACGGATCTCCCCGCGGCCCTGCTGAGCACGACGCATGAAACCCTCATCCACTTTTACAGTGACCATTCGCAAAACCGGCAAGGATTTAAACTTGCTTACCAAGGTAAGGAACAACAACAAGAACTGAAACCCAAATCTAAATACACTTCTTACATTTAAATTGCATGGAAATATAAATCTCCCTGATTGGTTCGAAGCTCGTACAACTGGAATAATTGTTTGGTGGAATGTTGGTTTCTGGTTTGTAGTGGAACACTTGTTTTTGAAAACAGAGATAAGGACACAGATGTAACCGTCAGTGGGTTTGCCTTGCCCGTTGCCTAGGCAGAGCTGATTTATGAAGACAGGGGAATTGCAATAGAGAAGGAGTAATTCACGTAGAGCCAGATGTGTGGGAGACCAGAGTTTTATTATTACTCAAATCAGTCTCCCCAGCATTCAGGGATTTGAGTTTTTAAAGATAATTTGGCGGGTAGGGGCTTGGGGAGCCGGTAGTGCTCCTTGGTCAGGTCGGAGATGGAATCACAGGGGGCCGAAGTGAGTTTTTCTTGCTGTCTCCTGTTCCTGCGTGCAATGGTAGAACTGGTTGGGCCAGATTACCGGTCTGGGTGGTGTCAGCTGATCCAGCAAGTGTGGGGTCTGCAAAGTATCTCAAGCACTGATGTTAGGTTTTGCAAGAGTGATGTGATCCCCGAGAGCAATTTGAGGAGGTTCAGACTCTCAGAGCCAGAGGCTGCGTGACCCCTAAACCATAATTTCTAATCTTAGAGCTAATTATTAGTCCTGCAAAGACAGACTGGTCCCCAGGCAAGAAGGGGGCCTTTTCGGGAAAGGGCCGTTATCAATTTTGTTTCAGCATCAAACCAAGAATTGAATACCTTCCCAAAATTAATTCAGTCTATGTCCAGGAATGAACAAGGACAGCTTAAAGGTTCGAAGCAAGATGGAGTTGATTAGGTCTGGTTTCTTTCACTGTCACAATTTCCTCAGATATAATTTTGCAAAGGCGGTTTCACAGACACACAGGGGATGATCAGGTACAGCTGTTACCTGCGCTTCACCTGCACTCCCATTCCACCTGCACACACTCTCTCCCATGACCGTAGTCATCTGCGTGCTCAGTCGCCGACTCTCATCATCCCATAGCTTTCACATTTGTCACGTGTCCCTCTGAGCTCTTGTCCCTTCAGGATACCAAGAGTCCCATGGTGCCGGGAGTTGATACATATGACAGTAAGTCTGTCGGTCTCTCGGGTGTCTATGCCTTGCCTTAGCACAGATAATGGCTACCTGCACTGTTCATGTTCAACTTTCACCATAAAAAGAGAAAAAAATCAGTGATTGAACTTTATCGTTTTTTATTCCTTCAAATATGCAATCTGTAAGAAAAGTTTGCATCATCAAAGCATTTTTGACATGTGAAAAAGTTCAACATTTTTATTTCATGCAAAATGATTTGTATGGCCTTTCCTTGAATATTGGTAGATCAAATGAGGTTGAAAATGTTAAATCTAGAGCCTGCCATTTTTTTTTAACTATAGTTAAATCACTTGTTTCCCTAATTCCACAGAATGCTCAGAAACAGGGCTTTGATATTTATTACTGAAAGAGGCTAGTATTTTATGTTGAACTCTTAGGCATTATATTATGTGTAGTCTCACCTAAAATATAAAATATAGACACAGACTTCCAGGATTGAGGTCTGTTAAACTGGAAATCTAGGTAGGAGCAAAAAAGAGAGGAAACTAAAGGCTAACTCAGGGAGCAATGTGTCTGTAGACATTGCCAGCATTTTTCTATGAACATACTGTGTCTTCCGGTGTTTCCCTTCTTTATTTTCTTACTACTTAGCAAACAGTATCACTCACTAATCATTACCTACTTGAAGCACACTAGAGAGGGAAAGAGAGAGAGAGAGAGAACATCAGAGAGGAAGCAATTTCCCACAACAAAATGGATACAGAATTTTGTATGGATACAATACAAAATTGCCTGTGCACCTGTTTTCTGCTCTTTCTCTTTTTCGATGGAAGAGAATGTATCTCCTACTTAAGGGTAATCGAGGCCGGGTGTGGTGGCCTCACACCTGTAATCCCAGCACTTCGGGAGGCTGAGGCAGGTAAATCACCTGAGGTCAGGAGTTCGAGACCAACCTGGCCAATATGGTGAAACCACATCTCTACTAAAAATACAAAAATTAGCTGGGCATGATGGCAGGCACCTGTAATCCCAGCTACTCAGAAGGCTGCGACAGGAGAATTACTTGAACTCGGGAGGCGGAGGTTGCAGTGAGCCAAGATCACACCATTGCACTCCAGCCTGGGCGACAGAGGGAGACTCCGTCTAAAAAAAAGAAAAAAAGAAAAAAGAAAGAAAAAAACCGGTAATCATTCCTATGCTCTAGGTACCTCTCTTCCTACTATTTCAGAGACATTGTATAGTGAATATTTTCTACTTCTGCATTTTCAGCTACTATCTCTCCATGAAATTTTCCCCAATAGCATTTCAAATATAACTCAAGTCTCTCACACAGCCACACACACACATACACATGTACACATCTATTTATAATTTTAATGTACCTTTGACCTCCGATCTTCCTCCAGCTTCTAATTTCTAAAACAAAATTCCAGAAAACTTACGTAAACATGCTCAATTTCCACACCTGTTTCCGCTTCTGTCTATTCAGCTGGTGTCTAATATGAATGGCTCTTCTGTGGACAAGATCTTCTATTTCAGGAGATGTTAATGTCACTAGCCCTAGAGGCACACTTCCTTTCTCATGTCTCCTGGTGACCTCCAGTATGGCTACCACTTCTCTTGACACCCTTTTCCCTTGGCTTCAGCGGCCACAAAATCTCTGGGTTATTCTGCTGTCTCTCTGGCTAAGTTCTTATTTTCTTTGCTTCCTTGACCACTTCTAACTGACTTTAGCCATGTAGGAGATTGGAATCCTCCTATATTTCCATCCTGTGCTTTCCATGATTCAAACTCCTGGATTCAAAGCCCATCATGGCCATTCACAGCTGATACATCTTGTGCCTGTGCCTCCAGCTCAAGTCTTCTGCAAGCCCCAGGACGCAGTGTCTATTTTCCGCCTCCACTGGGAAAGCCACAGGCACTGAAACATGGGCCTGAAGCTGAGCTCACAGTTTTGCTTCCCATCTTATCCTCCAGTCTCCCCGTCTCACTAAGTGTGAGGTGCAGTGTTCCTGGAATCTGCGGCTGCCTCCCTGTGTCACCACCAGCAGCCCTAACTGCTCTCAGACCTTTCTCCTAGAAAATGGCCAAACCCCTAAATGTCTTTCCAGATTTACTCCTCCAACTTCTCTCTTCTTTCCAAAAGGCATACCGGATTGATTCCTTTTGTGATGAAAGCATTTACCATGCTTTCTCAGATTTTTAGGAAATCGTTCAGTATCTATAAGGAGCCCAGTCTCCCAGGCTGTGGTTCTTTCTCTGTCTCGATTCTCACTTGCCCCTCTGAAATGTCTCCAGCAGCCACAGTGATTTCCACCTCAGATCTTTTACACGTGTAGCAATCTCAGCCTGCAATGCTCTCCATCTCCACCCCCACTCTTTGGTTAGTCACTCAGAACTGTTTCTGTGTAATACCCTGAAGGAGGCAATCTCTGAGTACCCCGACCAGGGGAGGTCTCCTCACCCAGAAGCTTGAATTCTGATGTGCTTCTCCTCGTGTGTTGGTCACGAGCATGCCTGCCAGATGTCTCCCATTCTCTCCACTTCTGGACTCAGGATAGAGGTGCCTTCAAAATGAAGTGTGGTGGTGTGACTTCACTGAGTGCTGAAATTGGAGTGAATGTCGCTTGGGATGGAACCTTGAAGAGCCAAAATTTAGTTTGCTCTAATACTGCTCTGTCATCTGGATCCCTGAGTATCTACAGGAGTAGAGTCTCCTGCCATCCCAACCCAGAGCCAGAAGGAAGCTGTCTTATTTTAAATCACTGAGATATGGGATATTGTTTTTTTGTTTTTTGTGTTTGAGAGGGAGTCCCGCTCTGTTGTCTAGGCTGGAGTACAGTGGCACAATCTCAGCTCACTGCAACCTCTGCCTCCCAGGTTCAAGCAATTCTCCTGCCTCAGCCTCCCAAGTAGCTGGGATTACAGGCACCCACCACCATGCCCGGCTAATTTTTGTATTTTTAGTAGAGACAGGGTTTCAGCATGTGGGCCAGGCTGGTCTCGAACTCCTGATCTCAGGTGATTTGCCCTCTTCGGCCTCCCAAAGTGCTGGGATTATAGGCGTGAGCCACTGCGCCCAGCAGGAATATTGTCTTTCAATGCCATGTAAATGAACCTAAACTGACAGGCATACCCTGGGACTTAATAAAATCAGGAATTTATTGTATACAGTCAGCCCTCTGCAGCCATGGGTTCTGCATGTGTGGATTCAAGCACCTCAGATCGGAATATTCTGAAATACGCAACACATGGTTGTGTCTCCACTGAACATGCACAGACTCTTTTTCTTATCGTTATTCCCTGAATGATACAGAATAACAACTATTTACACAGCATTTGCTTTGTGTTTGGTATTATAAGTAATCTAGAGATGACTTAAAGTATACAAGAGAATGTGCTTAGATTATATGAAAATGCTCCATTATTTTATATACATATCCTGTAACCCACCCCCCTGCATAAGCCAAGGGACAGCTGTATTTCTATATTTAAAGGATGCCTTACTAAAAACAATACACTGCATAAAGGTGATGGTCATTTCTGTGTTACCTCGCTCCGTGCTCAGCAGGAAGCGCAGTGCCTTGCCTGTAATTGGTCCCCAGTGGTTACAGTCTGTGAGACTGTAATTGGTCTCACAGAACCTGTGAGCTCCATACTTGAGGCGTTCCCCCCACCCCACCCATGCTAAGGGACTTTCTGCCATGCTGCATATGCATTTTAGGAAGCACCTGTGCAGGGCTTGCCTTTATTTGGTTTATCTGTGCTCTGACTTCCTCATTACATTAAATTGATTTTTAGTCCCTACTCATTGCAGATATTGCTAGCAAAACTCTTTTAAAGGATAAAAAATTGTAGCTAGACAGGAGGAATAAGGTCTGGTGTTCTCTAGTCCTTTAGGGT